CACGGGGGCAGTGCTGGCAGGGGTCGGTGGACGCTGCTCCACCGGTTCTTTGGAGTCTTCCTTCTTGACGGGCTGCAGAGGCTCCTGGCTGAGGAACTGTTTGCCAGCTGGCTGCTCATACTCCTGCAGTGCCTCAAAGCTCGGGGAACCCGGCCGGGACGCTGCTTGCTGGGAACTGCTCGGGGTTTCCTTTGGCTCTGACTGCTCCACGGACACGCTGGGTGGTGTCTCAACCTCCACCCTGTCTTGGCTTTCTGCAAGGAAGTGAGGTTTATCCTGCTTTTTCCCTTCCTCTACTGCACTGGGTGGCTTCACCACTTCCAGCTTCTCTTCTGCTTCAGACACTTCCTCCTCCTTCACTCTCTTCTGCTGCTGTGTCTCCATGGTCAGCTCCAAACTGCCGGCTGGGGACAGCATCCTTTTGCTCCCCCCAACTGTGGAGGGGCCCCCTTCCAGGCCGAGGACACTGTCTGAGGGGCAGGTGAGGGGCATGTAGCCCTTTCTTTCCGGCAAGGGCAGGGGAACTCTCAGGTATGGGCTCTGGAAAAGGCTTCTCTGCTCCTCTGTGATCATCTGGGCCAGGTCAAACCCCAGCCCGTGGACATCAGCGCTGCACACCAGGGCGCCCTTGGGCTGCCGGTCATCAAATTTGGGGAGGACGATGGTGGAAGAGCTGCACTGGGACTGCGTGACCAGGATCTGGGAGAGCGTGGTGTACATGGCGCTGCCATAGGAGGGCATGTTGGTCTGGATGCGGACGGGGACAACCAGGGACACCATGGGCTCTGTCCGGGTGGGGACGACGAGCTGGGTCACGGTGACAGAGAGCGCGGGACTCGCTGCGCAGGTCAGAGGGTGCAACCTGCTGTCCGAGTCATAATCCGTGCACGGGGACAGGCTGGAGCTTCCTGCTGCTGAGAACAAACTGGATTTGATCTGTGGCAAATGTCCACCAGCATCACCTGGCAAGTGGAGGGCAAACTGAGACTGGAGAGGCAGAAAGAAGGCTGAGGGGATCGGGGAGGAGCCAGGGTAGTGCACAGGCAGGAACGAAGGGTGCCTGAAGGACACCTCGGCGGGGTGAGACATCAAGGGAGGAGCGATGTGGAGCGGGCCCGGGTGGATGAGCGTCTGCGGGAGGGGCAGCGGCGGGGTCTGGAATATGGAGGGAGGGATCTGAGGCATGGAGAACTGGGCAGAGAGGATGTCAGACATGGTGTGTGCGGCGAAGAGCTCTGCAGACTGCCCCGGCTGTGGCAGGAGGTGCTGGTAGGGGAATATGGAAACCTGAGGGGCCATGAAGTGCTTCTCGTGCAGCGTCAGCTGTGGCACGGGGTGGTGGAACACCTGCAGAGCCTCTGTGTATGGCGGGCTGTAGGATGGCTCGGGGCTGTCCTTTGGCTGGCTCTTGTCACTCGGATAGGTGCCGTGAGAGGGCAAAGGGGAGGACGTGGTTGGCTGATGGGGCAAACTCGTGGCAGGAGATTTACTTGAAGAAGGAGCGGGATCCTCCGTGTCGGGCCAGCCCAGTGGGGCCGGGTCTGGCTCATGTTCGGGGTGCCTGGTGAGGGACGCCTGCCGCACCAGGAAGCATTTCCTCCTCTCCTGAGGGGCCGAGGAGGTGGAGGGGCCGGGGGTGGAGGCAGGAGTGGACGACAAGCTCCCGTAGTCGAAGGATTTGCTGCGAGTCTCTGACATCTGGGAAGGGTGGGACACGTTGGGCGTCTGCTCGGAAGCAGATCTCCGCATTTCCCTGGAATGGTGATGGTGGCTGGGGACCATCAGCATATGGGAGCCAACACCAGGAGGTTTTGGGTGGGATTCGGAGGGCTGGGTACTGGACTCTGGCTTGGTGTGGTCATCCCGGTCAAAGGAGATGGAGTGGCTGGAGCCATGGGAGAGGCTGCTCTCCTGACTCGGGCTCCGGGTGAGAGAGACGGACTCAAAGCTGGACTCCCCGGAGGACTGGGCCATTTCTGCCAGCCGGAGCCGCTTCTTCTTGGGTGGGAGCTTCTCTGCAGGGAGCTGGGAAAGAGTCTGGCTCCTCTGTGGCCACTGGAACTCCTCGGTTTTCTCTGGCTCCTTTGGAGGAGGTTCTGGCTCTGTTTCTGGTCTGTCCGGCTCTTCCGTGACCAGAATCTCAGGGACCTGGATGTTGGGCTGGCGGACCAGCCTGGGCTGCAGGGAGTGAGGGGGGCGGCTGTGCTGGGGCGTGGGCTGAGATGGGAACTGGGACAAGGGCTTGTCCTCTTCCAAGCTGCTGGGCTGCTCGATGGAGTCTGACTTCTCAAAGGAGCTCGTGTGCTGGATGACAGAGATCTCCTTGGAGGTTGTTCTCCTCTCCTTGCCCTCCGCGCTCGAAGCTGGTTTGGTGCTCCTGGAATGGAAGCTGGCACTGGCCTCAGAAGGTGCTGATTTTCCCGAGTCTGCTGGCGACTTCATGGATTCACGGGTCAGGTTTAGAGCCACCTCAGACGAGGCCAGGTTTGCAAACTGAGTGCTTGGGCCGGTGCTGGAGGAGGGGGTGTCAGACACTTCGAAAGATGGAGGTTCCTCGTCATCCCCGAGGCTCTTCTCCTTCCGCCTCTTGCGCAGCGGGGTGAGCTCCAAGGTGCTGCCCAGCTTGTAATGCATCATCTGGGGCCACACGTCGGGATCTGCTGCGCTCTTCTCCGGCTCTGAGGAGGTGTGGGACGTGGCAGAGCGAGGCTTGGAGAGCTGCAGTTCTGAGCAGTAGTACTTCTTGTGGGCCTCATAGTTGTCCCTTTTCTTGTAGCGAGCGCCGCACACATTGCACTCGTACATGAACCCTTTTGCCTTCGGGCCCTTGCGGGACTTTTTGGTAAGATCGCTTTCCTTGGTTTCAGGCTCCTCGGGAGGTTTGGGGACAGTTTCTTTGCTGGCAGAGCCGACCTCCTCCGAGACGTACTCCACTCCCAAGGGTAGCTCAATAGCTGGTTGGCGTTTTAGCATTCGAGGGTGGGAGGAAAATGCTTGGCTGCGGCTTAAGACTTCCGGCTCCATGATGTGATCATCGAATGAGTAGCTACCTCTAAAGGTGTGTGGGGAGCTTATAGTGCATGCAGCAGAAGGCATTGAGTGGCTTCTTAGGAGAGGCACTGTCTCTGTGGCACTGTGGGATTGCTGAAGTGACAACAATGATTGTTCGGGCTTCATTTTTTCACCGTGGGATGCCAACACTTTCGCTGCATCCAGCTGGCTGCTGGAGCCAGACTTGATATCGAACTGAAACGGTTCTCTGTACGCACCAGACTTTGGGGATTCAATGCTGCTACGCCTCGAAAGAGAGCTTCTTCTGGGCTTCACGCTGTCGATTTCACTGGTATCCACAACAGCTTCGTTAATGGTAATTAGCTTAGTGATGTGTTCGATCACCTGTGTTCTAGGCACAGACAACGGGACCATGCTGGGCTTCTCATCACCTGACGGGTGTGGGAACCCCTGGGTTGTGTTTGCAGCCAGCGCCGCCGTCCTCTGCCCGATCCTCCCACACTTCCCAAAGATGATCTCAGCGTAGGATTTGGCGTTGGTGTTGGGAGGGCTGATCTGCTGCTCTGCACTCTCGGATCTGGAGAAGTACCCAGACTCCGTGCTGCCTTTGCTGCCGGGGCTCAGGAACGCCTGCTCGTCGATCACCTTCTTGCGCTCGCTCAGGCGCAGCGCCAGCTTCTGCTTGATGGTGTGGGTGTCCTCAGACTTATGGCTCAGGGCGTGCTCTGACGACGGCTCCACAAACTGGGAGCTGTCCTCGAGGGACTGGGACATGCTGGAATGGGACAACGAGCAGCGGTCGTGGCTGGAGCCTTGGCTCCCCGTGCTCAGCAGGCTGCTGGAGAGCAGGGTGTGCTTCTGCCTGGGCGACAGCTCCACGGCGTGCCCCGACATTGTCGCCGTCTCCTCCTCTGAGTCCGTGCTCTCCCCTTCCGTCGGCTCCTCGAACTCCTCCCCACCGATTCGCTCCATCTCCAGGCTCGACGGGTACATCTCTGCTCCGATCCCTGAGGCCAGCCCGGCTTTGATCCGGTGAGCATGGGACTTCCTGTGTTTGTACAGATTGCTCTTGGTCTTGAAGGAGAAGCCGCATGGAATGCAAGGGTAGGGCCTCTCGCCCGTGTGGGACCTGATGTGTTTCTGGAGCACGCTGGGCTTGGCGCAGGGCCTGCTGCAGTACTGGCAGATGTACTTGCCCGGCTTCTGGGGCTTCTTCTCCTTCTTGTGCACCTCCTCAGCTTGCTTCAGGGACACCTGGGCAGGGCGGGGGATGAAGACCTTCTGCACGGCCGGCATGTCCTCTGCGGGAATGATGGATGAGTGGGACGGGAGGAGCTGGCTGTGGTGGGCGTGCAGCCCGGCGGACGGGAAGGAGCCAGAGGGCCCTGGCCTGACTGGATCAACTAGCTGCCATGTGGGACCTTCCAGGACATGCTCCGGCTTCCCCGGGGACATAAATGCTGGTGCCAGTGCGTGCTGCTGAAGCTGCGGAACGTGGGCGGGGTGGTCAAAGGAGGAGGGCTTGGGTTGTTTCTGGTGGCCAGGCTTCTCCTGAGGCTCCTCTCGTGGAACGGGCAAAGAGCCGGAAAAGTGCTGCTGCGAGATGATGTCTCGGAGAGGGGTTCCTTGGGAAGGAGCAGAGCTGCCCTGGTACGTAGTTGGGGATGAAACACTGCCTTGGAAAGCCTCTCCTTTGGGAAGCCTCTTTCTTGGACTTTCCTCAGCCTTTTTTGTGCTCTTCTGGCTTTGTTCAGGATCCATGACCTTAAAAGGGTCTTTGAATGCTATTTCGGGAAGGTTTTGGCAGGCTTCATTTAGGAATAATAAAGGTCTCCTCTGTAGATTCCCTGTTTTGCCTGCATTTGCTATGAAGCTGGAGCCGCCAGGAGATGGTTGTTGATTTAAGATTTTACTAAAGTGTCACTAGTTGCTATTTGATTCAAAAAAAAAAACGTTTCAAGGTCAATAAAGTTCACATTGGTAACACATGACAAACTACTTCAAAGAGAGAAAACTTTCCAAAACTTTCAGTCCAAATATTTTCCTTGTGAACTTGGTTAAGGCTTTAAACCTTGCCATTTTATTTCAGTTGACAGTGGCAAGCCTTCAAAGTCAAGATGCAACCCACAATGTGTCTCTTGTTTGTTATGCAAACCTTTGAAAACTTGAGACTTTAGTGCTCATCTCAGAAAGATCCTTTCTTTTTTCCTTTCTCTCTCTCTCTCCTGTGCAAGGAAAATAACACTGAATGGTGGATGTCCCCCTGTGTCTTCCTTCTGTTCCACTTTGGAGTTCAAAAGCCTTGGAAAAGTATTTCCCACATTTCTGTAATTACATATGAAAGAAAAAGAGACAAAAAAAATACTTTAGCTTTTGTGTGTAAGTAATTAACCGCTGCTCATTCGGGGGGTTAACAGTAAATATTTTGTACACAAATAATTCAGAACAACTCATTGAATGTCTGCCTAAACCTAAACATAAACTGCACTCAGGCAAACCTCAGGGACTCAATTTAATGCTCACAAAACCTGGCTCTGAGGCAGCAACCAAAGACAGGAACTTGAAACAGAGACAGTTTGGAAAAATGAATTAAAACGCTTTCAAACTCGAGTTCCTCCTAATCTCCTGCAAACATTTAGGGGTTTAAAGTTTTTATAATTGTATTTCCCTTCCAAACCGACTGACTCCAAAGCCCTGCCTCACACCTCTTACATCCCTGACAAATAACAAGGCATCTTCTCTGGATAAAAGCTGCTCTTGAGCTGTGCTAATCTTCAGTGTCACCTACAAGAAAGGCAGGTAAAAAGGAGCTTTTATTGAACTGTTGCCTCTTTAATTTCCTGCCTTTTGTCACCAAACAAAGGCACAAATCCAATTTCTGTGGCACACGTGGGCTGTTTCTAAAGGGAAACTCCCTTGAAACGAGTGTGGATGGGACCTCTCAAACCCTATTAACCACCCTGAGCAAACACAGCTCCTGATGGGGCATTCCGGGAGGGAATTGCACTGGAATTGCAGCTCTGGAATCAGCCAGTCTCTCCAGGAGATGGAGTGGATATGGGTGGGATGCTCTGAATGAAAAGAAGGGTGGTGCTTTCTAAATGAAACTAATTGATAGATGTGATGTATAATGGCAAATAAATTGTTATCCTTCTTTCTGAAGGCATTGTCTGCCCCGTGGTGTGCTGCCTTACTAGGACTGGGTTAATTAGAGGAAATCACTCCAAACCCTGTGTTTCCTGGGGATGGGGCTGAAGTGCCAGTCCAGCAGAGCAGGGAGGAGCAGGGGACTGAGATTTGAGCTCAGCAATGACCCAGCTTCCTCCTGAAGGGCGAGGAGCCAGCAGGAGAATCCACAAAGTCCTCCAAGGATTCCTCACTGCTCATTCACTCCTACAACCCTGTGGGCTCAGTGAGAAAAGAGACCTGGAGTTTAAGGGGATTTAGCTGAATTCAGCAGTGTAATGGTATTGGGACACCCTGGTGTTGCAGACAACTTTAATAAGAAATATTTTCTCTAGGATTTTCTTCTTGAGAAACTAAGAAGCTTCAAGAACAAAAGGTAAACATTGATTATCTGCTGCTGTGGAATGCAACAGGTGGATCTGTGATTGGTCTCTTGTTTTTGTTTGTAATTAATGGCCAATCACAGCCCAGCTGGCTTGGACACAGAGCTCGAGTCACAAACCATTGTTATCATTCTTTGCTATTCTATTCTTAGCCAGCCTTCTGAGGAAACCTTTTCTTCTATTATTTTAGTATAGTTTTAATGTAATATATATCATAAAATAATAAATCAAGCCTTCTGAAACATGGAGTCAGATCCTCGTCTCTTCCCCAATCTAAAATCCCCTGTGAACACTGTCACACCCTGGGACACCTCGTGACCAGCCAGACTTCACAAACTCTCTGACAATGCCACCTCAGGTGGCCAAATGCAGGGTGCAAGCCCTGGGACACATCTCCCTCATGGAGAAAGGCAGGGACCCAGTGGGGACAATGGATCCCCCATGAAGGGCTCAGTTCAGGGACATGGGTTCCCCTCAGATGTCATTTTTTACTGGCTGGATAAGTCCACCTGTGACACCACATCTCAGGGAATTGACACAAAATCAGTTCCAGCCTTGAACTTCACCCTTTTTTCCCTCAAATTCAGGCCCTGCTCCCTTTCAGCACCGGCTTCAAACATTCCCAGGACCTGCAGAGCACCTGCTCCTGCCCTGACTTGCTGAGGAAATCAGGCTCCTTGCTGTGAGAAGGATTTAATTACATTTTGAACCCCCATTTCAGAGAGCCCTCAGTGCTGACTAACCCTGCCCGTGGTCTGGGCTAGACTTTGAGCCCAGCATTTATTCAAGATCAAAGGCACTCGTGGGGCTGATTTATCACCTTGATTTCTGCACAGATTGCTGGGGTTTGCTCCACTCGTGACACACAGAGCTTTTTGACCTGGAGAATTGGATTTAAGCAGAGACAGAAAACAACTGAGTAGAAGTGGATTTAAGCAGGGATTTTTTCAGCAAGAGCAGAATGAGCTGCCAGAAGCTCAAATATTCACATTTGAGAGCTCCCAACTCAACCTGAACAACATTATAATACTGAATTTTCTCCTATAGGCCACATATCAATTCCTAAATGTTTAATAATTATGCTTGCAAAGAAAAATCTTGAGTTAATTCAGTATCACCCCAAATGTTCAGACCATCCTCAATCTCCTCTGCTGAACACATGAGCCCCAGCTGATTTTTATTTTTTAGGAATTCTGCACTATTCAAGCACAGGCCAACAAACAAACACACCTGGCTGCCTACACCAGCAAGCAGGGCCATTCCAGACCAGTCCAGGCTACTCTGGACATCTTTATTCCATTACTGGGAATGAGGCTCCTGGAGTGCCAATGGCAAAGGATAATTCTCCTGGCTGGATGCAGTAAATCCAGGCTGAGACTTCTCCAAGGAAAATTTAACAGTGCAACAAAAAATGGGAGAAAAAAAAAATGAAGCCTGGGAAGGTTTCTCCACTAAGGATCCAGAGAGAAGGAGGAAGAAAAGGGGA